TTTTCGCCCCGCGAATCTATAGGTTCCAGTAACCCCAGGAAGATGCGCTCTTCCCCTGGGGAGCCCGAGGGCCCGGGTGAGAGAGAAAAGGCTTACAAGAAAGTCACAAGATAATTCGTATTTAATTCTGACAGTTACCTTTGGAATTGTATGCTAATAGCATTTCTCCCTTTTCCGTGGTTTGATGGAAACATTTTCTCTGATTAATAAAGACCCGACATAATAACCCACCCAATAGGACATCTTAGTGGGAGTAGCTGGTTATAGTCCCTTCAGCCTGAGATGAAGTGCCCGCTATAGAACCCAGTCTATCTGGGGAGAATCACACAAAACTGTCCTGAGACTCTCCGCTCTTTTCTCCCCGGGAACGAACACCCCTAAATCAAAAGGGGACTCGAGGGGAGGAGGAGGCACAGGTGTGAGCCCTGGAACTGAGGAGGAAGCTCTTGGTGCTGAAGGGAGCCCCTTGGCCCGGTAGACACGGCTGCCCATGGGAGTACTGCTGCGTTGAACACTTAACTTTATATTTTTAGATCAACAAGGCAAAGAGCACCTTCAAATGAAAATGCCTGAAATATTTTTAAAAAGAGGAAAATTGGAGAGGGAAAAAGAAAACTTGGCCTAAGGAAATTTCCAGGCAGTTCTAGGGATGCTTTGAGGGAATCCAAATGATGCGCGGCTCCCCTGTACCCTGCCTAAAAGACAGATATTTTCAGAAAAGGAAGAGGGACACACACACACACACACACACACACACACTCACACTCCCTTTGGAAGCACAGTCCCTTTGGAACTGGGACATCCTACTCCCATCCCTCCCCGCCTCCCCTCTGCTAGTCTGTCCAGGTTGAGCCAGCTCTTCCCATTTCTTGCTGGGCTCTGGCCCTCACCCTCCCAGCGCCCCGCTGGGCCACAGCCGACCGCGGCCCCACAACCCGGCCAGGTCACCCTGGAGCACTTTGCAGGTTCACGCCTCCCTCACCCAGCACCTCCCGTCCACCGCATTCCTCTTTCTGTTAGAAAACAGAAAAGGGAAGAAAACGGAAAGCCCTTTTTGGCCTACAATTTTAGGGGGGCGCTGGGACTCTATGGTCCTAGGTGACACATGTCGGATAATCTCCCAAAGTAGGGCGCCCGTTTGGGGAGAAATCCACGTAGGACTCTACAGTCACGTGCGTTTAGGGACCTCTTGCTGGGAACTCTGGAGGCCTGCGACGGGTCCCACACCCACAGGGGCAGATTGTCCAAAGGTCGCATTTATTCGGCCGTCCACAGATATTTATTGCGCACCTACGAAGCTACCTGGCATTTTCCTTTTCCCTTGCGCTGTTGCTGTCCAGTCCCATGGCCGTCCTGAGACACGGCCTACCCGCCGCCTCTCTCCCTAGAGAGCCGGTGTCGGGTCTGAAGAGCGACCTGCAAACGCGCTCGCAGCCGCGTGAAAAGTACTATTACGGAGGAGAGCGCGGGGTTCCCGCCAGGGATTGGGGTTTTTTACCTCAAGGGAACCGAGCCCCCTGAGAACTGAGAGAGAGAAGGGATATCCACTTCCCTGAGCACCTCTATAGAGAACATCGCCAGGGGCTGAGATCTTCGGGAGACTCTGCTGCTCAACCCAACCGAATTCTTCGGGGACATGCACCCCTGCTGAAAACGGATTTAGACACGCTCCCCACTTTTGCTAGGAAACTTTGGAGAGGGAGGTTACGGTCCCTAATTCCCCAGGTAAAGGGAACCCCATTCGCCACGCCATCCACTGCCATCCGGAGACGGAAAACCCCCCTGTGCGGTGTGTTCACACCGCCCCACAGAGCCCACGAAACTCGCTGTAATCCAACATCTCTGGGCTCCGGACTTGGCGCCCGCGTAGACGCGGAGGGAGCTCGGCGGCCCAGGCTAGGGAAATTGAACCCGGCGCCGGCCCTAGTCGCTGAAAGAGACGGGGCGGGGGGTGATCCCGGACCTTGGCTTCCCGAGGCCCGCCTTGGGATCTGCTTGCACCTCCAAGTCTCTGCCCCCGCGGCAGACCTCGCGGCGCTTGCTTAGAGCGGGGCCCGGAATGCACGTCGCAGACTGGTGAAGGGCCCTCCGCTGCCTGCCGCTTTTCTTGACCTGCACCCTTTCCCCACCAGAAAGAGGAGCCCACCGCGTTTGGCTCTCGGCAGCATGCCCTGGCTAAGACGGAGCCAACAGACTCAGTTTCCCGATCTGTAACCTGAACATTGAGAATAGGTTCCTTTCCCTCTGGCGCTCTCTGACACTGGTCCTCTGGTAGCGGACCGCGAGCGTCTTCCTGGGGCAGGGAGGAGAGGTCAGGGGAGACCCGAGAAACTCACACCGAGCCGAACCCCTGAGTGGGGGTGGGGGAGTTGGCACCGGAGCCCCTGCAGAAATACAGAACTAATCAACGGTGTCCACGACTCAGACTTGTCCTGGTCCTGGCACACGAGCAGAGGGCAATGTCTGGAATTTGGGGACAGGGGTCCTTCTCCTGAACCCGGTCTCCCCGTTCCATGCAGACTAGAAACGTCGGGCACCTTGAACGCTCTTCTCTTGCCATGTCCCGTATAGACACACACCTCCCAGTTCTTCTAACTGGGCTGCCTAGAGGTGAATCCAAACGGGAGGAAATATCGAGTAGGAATTTCTGCAGAGATAAATCTCAGCAGCAAAGCAGTCCTGATTGAGTGGAGCACACCACCACCAGCCCCCACCACCATCAAAGTTTTCCGGCCGTATCTGTGAGTTAAACAGTTTCTGAGCTTTTGGCGCCCCCTCTGGATGAAGCTGAAAATTGCACCATTTAAAAAGTCCACTGTTTATCACTTTTCAAGAAGATACAATACAAAGTGTTTGCATCAAACGAACAGAAAATGTACAAAACACTGTAAATTTATGATTTAAAATTCTATATATTACGTATCCCCTATAACGTAATTGTGTTAAATATGTATTTATGTGTATGTATTTATCTTGACAAATATTTAGAGAAATATTCCAAAATATCTAAAAGTCACAGTCTTCAGTGCCTTTAAGCCAGTAAACACGAGAATTGCAATAAAATGCAACTAAATACAGACGCCTTGGTTAAAATTTCTGCCCGAAGTTCTGGTCTCTGAGTGTCCTCCTGGGTCAGGTGCCTACGAATCACCCAGTTATACTCACAAATGTCCCCTCCCCACGACACAGAAATCAGTTGATACTACGCGGGACTCTTCTCCCAAGAAAGGACGAAGTTGTTCTTATACTTTTCCAGCGTATTCACGGAGCCATGAATACGTGGCTATTGTATGGAGGTTTCTAAAACTTGTAAACAAGCTATAGCGTACTACAGACATCCACTGTGAGTGAGTTACATTCGTTTAAAAAGTAAATAGTATTTAACTGTAGTTGCAACTTACTACCTTCTGAAGAGTTCCGTTTCCTATAAGAAAGGTCGACTTCTTCGGAAGAAAATGAGACAAAACGAGATTTAAAAAAAAAAAAATCTTCCAGGAAAACATTCTTTTAAATCTTGCAATAGTGTCCGCAATGTGCAAATTAGAAATGAACAAGTCTTTGCTATGATGCGGGCCGATTCACCATAACAATAATTTAATTCGAAGCGGACATCTGGGAGAGCCAGAAGGGGGGAAGTTTAAAATTAGGAGATTTCCACAGTTGTGCGTTTATTTGTGATTCTGAAGACATGTAACCCGCAGGAGCCTAGGATTTTTTTTCTTCTCTTCCAGAACTGATACCTAACCAGGCACTAAAGGCAGTTGGTGCAAACACAAAGGTTGTGCTCAAATCACACTTGAGATACACCAGAGACACCCCCAATCCCTCCCCCAGGACTCCTAGCTGTCTGCGAGTCGGAGAAGGACCCGATTACAGTCAGGAGACGGGAGCGTCACCCCTCCAGGTGTTTTGTAAAGGAGGACGAAAACAGGCGAGCTGCACGACTCCACCAAAGTGGAGTGTTTTGTCTGCGGTGGTGCCCGTGTGTTTGGCGTTTTACAAACCAAGGGACTGGCCTCAGCCTCTCGGCCCGGGACGGCCACTTTCGCAAAGTTCGATCTCTCAAAGCCAGAGCAGTTTGCAAGCTCTTTCCAGTGGCAACCCTGCTGACGTTTGGATTCGGCTAGGAGGTGAAAAGCAGAACGTCAAAGCAGTTGCCTGTCACTGAGCAGTGTCGCGGGGTGGGGGCTTGGAGGGGCTGGAGAAGGACTTGTCAGAGTTCAAGGTCGCTGTGGCGCGGGGACGGCTCCGGCGAGCGCGGGGCTACTGGGTCCCCGCCGCCGCCGCCGCCGCCGCCAGCCTTCGCCCGGACTTAGCTTTGGTTTTCATTGATTCCCCTTGCAAGAGCGCAGCAGAATCCCAACCAGCCGCACCGGCCCCGGCGAACCAGAGCGTGTTAATCTATTTATATGGATTATTACAGAGGGAACAGCGGGCGTTGAGTCACCAAAACATTTGCTTCAAAAGACCATTTCTAAGCACTTTCGGAGGAGGCAGTCTCCAGGAGCATAAACTGGGCTACGCGTTAAAGAACGACTGCTTTTCGAATTCTACAAACTCCAGCTAAGTCTCCGGGACCGCGCAGAAAGCAGTGAAAAGAAATGCTTGGGGGTGGGGGCAGATCCTAGTCTAGACACGCGCGCGCGCGCGCACACACACACACACATACACACACACA